TGATTGGACCACATGATTTTGATGACGTCACAGACTAGTGATGCAGAAGCCAATTCTTTTGTTACAGTTCTGTGCACAGAGAATCATCGTCTAGGAAAAAATATGAAAACATATCCAATGGTTGATTTTGACTGGTCACCTATGCACTTGATAATTGCTGCTGATCGAACTTGCCCCAAAATGAAAGAGCGCCGAATAACGACCAAGAAAACGTCACTTCAAGTCAATTTGAATACGTGCGACACAAACTACTTTAAGAAGATGTGACTCTTAAAGGTAGAACACACTTCCATTGTAGTCTTGTGACTTTCTAAGCAGCAACTGACGAAAACACCAGAGAACTAGAGAGAAGTGTTTGTAAACAAGTACAAACACAGAGCTGTTTCGGGACTGTTTTACAAACAAGATAAGTATTGTTGATCAAAACTCTCAAACTAACCCAAATGCTGGCTTAAAAAGGTGTACAAAGTCAAGGGGCTGAAATAAATATTGAAAAACCAAGAGTAAATCATATGACGACGTCATCATGACGTCATTTATTTACAATAATTTCTGTATCAAGATCTTTGTTGGCTGTCGCTTTGAAAACGATCATACATCCGAAAGGGTTNAAAAAAAAAAAGGAAAGAAAAAAAAACAGAACGATTACAATACCTGGTTCGGCTGAACTGCCGAACCAGCTAAAAAAAAAAAAGGAAAGAAAAAACAAAAAACAGAACGATTACAATACCTGGTTCAGCTGAACTGCCGAACCAGCTAAAAAACTAGAGAGAAGTGTTTGTAAACAAGTACAAACACAGAGCTGTTTCGTGACTGTTTTACCAACAAGATAAGTGTTGTTGATCAAAGCTCTCAAACTAACCCAAATGCTGGCTTGAAAACGTGTACAAAGTGCCTCATTTCCAAGTCGGCCATATTGAATTGAAAGCAAAGTTCACTTTTGTAATTTTGGGAGCTTGAGATTAAAACAGAAAGTAGTGAAATAAACGTCATTAAAACTGATGTCATTTAACGCCGATAAATAAGTTTAATTAAAATGTGTCATGCATTATGTTTTGAGCCACATTTAACAAAAACTGAAAAGGAAGCATGCAATCCAAAGTAGTCTGACACCGCCCCATCAAGAAATTACATTGAATAAGACACATTAAGGGAACACGGTAAACCGGCTTCCCTGTGAATGAGGTCTTTTGGCGACTTG